GGCATAGCACAGAGTGCTGAGCTGGTTTTATGTGTATTCAGCAGTTGTAAAATAGCAGAATTAGTATTATATTAGACTATGAGTTCAAAGAAAAGTGAGATAATTGCTATGATTGCTTTTGAAGAGATTTTTAGTGTTTGAAATTCAATGCTGGCAACAAAAGTGATGTTAATCCTGGCTGAAAGATGGTCTACAAAAGCCTAAAAGAGCTGAATTTCAGAATCAAGTTGATGTCACTGTACATTGATACAGGTGGGAATCTAGGGTTACTGGGTTTTATTTATTTATTAATGACACTTCATCTGAAGTACAGGTTTCCCTCCACTACAATTAGAATGCAATAATCAGGAGTTAGTATATTAAGGGATATTTTAACGAGATAATCTATTTTACATCTAAATTTTCTGCCTGTTTTCCTTCTTTGGTGTTAACTTAGGTGATTGTAATTACTTTATGCATTAAAAATCTAGAGATCTATGAAAGAGGTTTTTTTTTAAAAAAGATGCTATGCAAACAACATAACACTATAATGAAAATCCCTAATCATTCAACCAGAACAACAGCTGCTAAGTAATGGGCAGTTAGCAATAGTTCAAAATCTGACACAGAATCTTAGTATTGCGCAGTTTCCAGGAATGTTTAGCACTCATTCCTATGAAATTCAAGAAAATTTTTTTTTTGTTTGGTTGTTTTGGGGATTTTTTTTTGCTCTATGAAAGACATCTAAAAGTTCTATTGGGTTGATCATCTGAATATTTATGTACTTGCGTACCTCGTGTTGTTTTCACCTCAGGTGTCTTTATTAAATAATATTAAAGCCTTTTTTTCAGACTTCCAAAATTGAACTTGAAGGTGTTATTCTGACAAATACAGAATATTCGTATTGATAAGTTCTTGCTAAGGTTCTAGGTTATTTAGGAATCTAAATGAGACAATTGTCTTCAAATCAAGTGCTATTTACTTCTGTAAGTATCAGAGGAAAGCTGTGTTTTGGTAAAGCAAAACACAGGTTGTGGACTGGTTTTGTACCCTTTGTGTTTTGGTTTGCATAAAGTACAGGGCTGATTAGCAGTGGCAATCAACCAAAGCCGTGGCAGATGCAGAAGAAACATCAGCAGTTGTCTCAGGTGAGATCAGAGGAGAGGTGTTAACCTGAGACCAGCTACAACAGTGTAAAGAGATGCTGCAGCAGCTATTCTCAAACCCACACAACTCCATCTTTCAGCCCTGGTTGTGTCAGGGCCAATGGTATCATGATCCTGCATAACAGATTCTGCCTTTGTAATGAGTTTGGAAGTAACTAAAATAGATACTCAGTAACCTCTGTGGTTGATGGTAGTGTTGATGTCTCAGTGGTGACAGCAGAGAATCTTCGTGTGCTACAGCTATAATCATTGAAAAGGAGCTTGACAATAAAGTGAATTAAATCCTTCCAGTTCATGTTGTCTCTCAGGGCAAATGTTTTAATCACATAGAAATAAAGAACTAATTACAGCATTTAATTTGAATTGTTGCTTGGCCATGGTATTTTGCCATTTTTAACAGAGAAGTCTGAACACATGCTGTTGTATTTGACTTTTTTGCTACAATGAAGGAGGAAAGCCAGGCCCCAGTGACAAAGCTTTCTTTCCCTGCAGGAGGCAGAGGATATTACCCAGAGCACTGAGCAGATCTGGACTAGAGAACCCAAGATACAAGATAGATTCTGCAGCACTGTGGGTCTGGAGCTAAAGGAAAACAGGTACTTCTGTCACCTTAGGGGAAATCGCATGGGAACTTTCCTTGGTTCATGTTATCAGTCTGTGGGAGTGAATTTGATTTCTGTCTGAAAATGACAGCAGACTAGACTGACAGAGCTGAGTAATAGTGTCACTAATTCATAGAGTCTGGTCTGATAAACATATTTTTTCACTTAAAAATCTGTCCTGAAAGATCTCTGACAGCATTTGATTTGTGTTTGTCTTTAAAAGCACTTGGAAGTTCAACTGAGACTCAGTAATGCAATTTTCTGTCTCTGACCCTAAATGTAATTGTCTAACATGTTTCTGTCTGGTGTCAGCATTATAGACAGTGTCAGATGGAGCTATCTTTAAAAATCTACATTGTTCAGGGTTTCTTTCTACTTTAGTAATAACTGTGCCCTAATGTTGGAGGCTGTGAAATAATCTGGATGCTGCTATTTTGCCATGTAAAAGATAAGTACAGTTCTACTCTACTGTTACCAAAGGCTCTTGCACATGGCTGCATTGCACTGTGCCCCATGGTGTAAGGAACCATGGTAAAATAAACCAAATAGCACTGAGGTGCTTCCAACTACTTCTGTATTCACTGCCTGTTCTCATTGATTTCTGTGGGATTTCAGCCATTAATTTCAGCAGTAGGAGGATGTGTAACCCTTAGTGAGGCTTGAAGTAAAATTACCCTGTAATTAGAGTTAACTTTATTGTAAATAATCATCAAAAGTCATTTGTTTAGCAGAAATGGGCTAAAGAAAGAAGGTTCAGACAAACTGTTAAAACACATGTACCAAGCGTGTGACAAAATTCCATTGACAAGAGGCAATCCATATTTATGGTCTCAGACCTCCAAATGTCTGATTCCAGCAGAATGTTGTTCACTCTAAGGGAGCTGATTGGGACTGTGTGTTTGTGATCAGGCAGCAGGACTTCCAGCTGAGGCACAATTTGAAGAGCTTTCTTAAATCCCATGGTAAGTAGTAACTGAAATTTCACAGTACCTGACAGCCCATGCGAGGAAGAGAGGAAAATAAATTGAGTGAGTTTATTCTTGTGCAAAGAAAGCAGCATTTTCCTCCTCTGATCTGCTTAGTGGTAATGCTGGAAGAAGGAAAGGTCTAAAAACCTCTCTAGTCACAAGCTCTTCTTAACTTTCTGGAGTGATCACTGAAGCTGATACCAGACTTAACTTGTCATGAATTTTTTACTGTTCTTAATGGAATGGTAAGTGGTGAAATTGTCTTAGATTTGTAGGCCTAGCAGGCTAATCAGGGTGGAAGTAAGTGTGGTTAAATAAAGGAGCTGCCTGCTATCTCAGAAGTTATCTGAGCTGTCTGTGCCTTTCTCTCTTATTTAGCCATTAATGTTGGTACAATGCTTGAAAATGTCTGGGTGACCCATATTGCACAATGCAAACATAAAACATAATATCAGCTGAGAAACAAAGCATTTTATGACAATAATGAGAGCTTTTAGCCCTGCAGTCAGGCCACAGTTATTAATTCTGAAAAATTCCCTTTTTTAATTGCTCTTCTGAGATGACATTGAAATAATGAATGTCAATTTGCTTGATGGATGATTATTTTTTCACTCTTATAGAAAATTCTACAATATTAGGTCCTGATTCATTCATTAGAGTTAATGGAAATATATTTTTGGCTAATGTATAGAGCATGAACACATTATTGAGTATTCATTAAAGTCTTGTAGATTGCTTTAACTTTGTGTAATATGATGAGTTCCCCAATATTGTATTGATATTTCCTTCCTTTTTCATAATGTCTCATTATAAATGTGTTGTGCACCAGAACCACAATAACATCAGCAGGCAATTTTGAAGTGAAGATTTTTGATCTGCAAATATCGGAACATCTTCTTAAATACCTCCAACAAATACAGTATAAGACACTCATACCAGTTTTTGCAAGATTATTGTCCAAGAATGACTTTTCAAGAGCTCCAAATTTTTTTCAAAGAGTATGTAGGAGCAACTGTAGTGTTGGAAGTGCAATGTTTGGGGTGGTTAAAGCCATCTAGATTTTTTTAAAAGGCTGTTTGGCTGTGCGTTTATTTTGGTCACATCTAAGACAAAACCCTGATACACTGTGGTGTTTCATTAGGTACTATTAGCAATGAGTTCATTTTTGTAGCCCAGTTTGATTGCTCTCTGTGTTTACACTATGACAAAATTGTGGTGACATCATCACACCCACACTTTTCAACCAGAGCCCTAACCTAGTGCACAAAATGGACTTCAGTTAGTGAGAACCTACTCAGAATTTTGCATTCTCCCCATTCCTTATGTCTGCTATTTCAATCTGTCTGTAAAGAAAAAAAGATTAATTTATTAGCAATTTTTTATGGCACTCTTCATTTTATTATACTTTCCCCACAGGCATTGATGCATTTTACAACCCTGTGAGATGTGGGCATTGTGTTTTTCTCAGTGCTGAGAAGAAAACCAGCAGAATATTGATTAATTAGGCAACATTCCCCCATTTGCTCTTCTGGAGCCCTGGGGACTGGTGTTTTTGAAGTGCTTTTTGCAGAAGTGGTAGGTGGGACACGAGGAGTGTTCTGGAATTCATTTGAGCACACAGAACACTGTTTTAGCTTCTCAGCAGTGGAACAATAGTGCCATCGGGTGGGCATGAAGGTGAGGGATTCCTTGGGGAATTTTGAATGTATTGCTATTTCAGAAATCTAAATTAATCCTGGATCCAGTTGATCTTAAATTGATTACTAATTAGTGCAATGTTCTGCAATATACTTAGTCTCTAAAACACAATCGCTTGCATAAAGAATGACAGAAAAACATATAAAATATTAAAACACTTCTTGATTAAATACCACTACTACCAGTTATCATAAACAGGTTTTACACCTGGACATTTTATTAATTCTGTTTTTTTTTTACAATATATGCTAGCTATTTATGCAAATATTGAAAATTCAATGGCCCACAGAGATGCTTTCAATTTCTCCTCTTAATATTTATGTTTATATGTTTAATGCCCTAAATTCAGATGTGAGGAGTGGATTCCAGTTCAGTCCATTAGTGGCATAGACCTTCTGCTTAAAACATCTGACAGCATGGCTTAAGTAGTGCTTGTACCACTTCAGATGTTTTCCAGCAATATGAAACCACTTGCCAACAATTGTTCATGACCTTTCAGGGTACAAAATAGGTAAGTAAATGGTAGGTTTGCAATAGGAAAGATTGTTTATGGCAAATATATGTCTTGGTCTTTACTTGACTGCTGGTTACGATTTGACCAGTGCTTGAAACTCTGAAAAAGAAGAAAAGAGAGTAATAAAATGGGACCTCTGTTTGCAATCACACAGCCCAAAATTTTCTCTCCCAATTTTTAGAGTTAAAATGGGAAACTAATGCTACTTCCTCTGATAAACATTCCTTAAAAGCAGCACATTGTGTATTCCTAACAATAGATACTTGAAGTAAAGGAAGTGTTGCATTTAAGTGTCACATTGTGTCACAGTTCACTAGCAAAAAGCAGTGAAATTATATAGACTGAATTTAGGCTCCATTCCTGAAAAAATCTCCATAGATGAGAAAAGGGACTGACCACTTTAGCAGAGACCTGTTTCTGTGTCAGATTCTCCATAACACAGCAGGTCTGAGCACCTCAGCATCAGATCCACAACATCCAGTACATGGAGCAGGGCAGGTGCCTTTAGGAAGTCTCAAATGCAGGTATTATCTTTCTAATAAGGGCAGTCTTACCATCCACTCCAATTTTGCCATCTCCATCGCTGTCCCCTGCTGCCAGGAATGCCTTGGTCTCAGCATCAGTCAAAGCTCTGGCACTGGCTGAGAAATTCTTCAGGAAAAGTCTGGTAAAGGTGAGAGAGCAAATGAGAGAGACAGTACTGAGAGTGTTCAGGGTTTGGATTGGTAACAGCTGCAAACTTTCAAGCATGATTCAGTTCTTGAGAACTATTTCAATGGTAAAACTTCCTCTCAACTTCGTTGAGAGTGAGGGTAAGGAAGTGAGAGGATGCTGCTTCACAGCCTAAAAAAATCCTTGGTGACATCTTGGTTTCATTGAATTAAAAAGACAAAATTAACACTGACTCTGTAGTGGCAGGATTCAACTTCTCTCCCTTGTTATCTTCCTTCTTCCTCCTAAGATGCAGAATCTCAGCAAGAATTTCTCTAACCTTACTTTTAACTTCAAAGTTTGATGAATGTGATCTGGGAGGTAGAATTCATGTGACAGAAAAAAGATGAGAGAAAATGGCCCTTTGAATTCAGTCTGGTAAAAAAAATCTTACAATAATAAAAAGCAGCTATAGCAGAACTGCTATTTTTATCTTCACAGTCTGTCAGTTATTGCTACATGAAACAAGTACTTTCAGTGCTGTCAGAGAGTTTCCCCATTGTGATCCAGCCTTGCCTTTGTTCTTTGACTTGCAGCTCCTCCAGCACCAGCACTCACACATGGGTGCACAAACACGATTGTCTCCCATCCAAAGGAACAGGAGAAAAGGGAATATTTCTGATCTTATCCTGCATTTTTAGATGATAAGCCAGATTTTTAGGTGATTATCCTGTCGGTAACTTTCTTATTTACTTACTTCAGTTCCTCTTCCTCAATAAAGCCACTCCTGTCCTGGTCTAGAATTCCGAAGACTTTGGCAACTTGGTCTTTGGACTTGGAGTTGAGACCCACTTTGACAAAAAAGGTTTTGTAATCAAATGAATCAGCAGCTGAAATAAACAGATGGAAACAAGGAGAGATGAAGAAAAGTAGTCCAAAATCTGTAACAAAAAAAAAAATTAGCTTTTTGATCAAAAAGCAGCAAACTATTCTGCAGTACAGTGAGGGTAATTATAAATCCCAAGTAACAGTTTTTGATTTTCCAGAGTTTATATCAGGTAAATGGGATTTTTCCATCAATGATGTCTCATAACTAGGAAGGTAATGAAATAATGACTGTGGTCTTCAACATGCAAGAACATACCCTTATAAATAGATACCTCACTGAAAGACATATTTGTAGAAATTGATGATAAATATTTGACTTGTATTGAAATCAGCAGCAGTTTTATTATTATTCTGTGAAAAAACAGAATTTCTGACGCAGGATTCAGCCTTTGGATTTTTTCATCCTTAAAATTGCTGCAGTGCACAAATGATGGTGGGTACCTGTAGCTTGGTTGGTCAAGATTAAAGTTTGCATCTGTTCCATAACTTTGAGTCCTTTTTCTGTTTTTAGTAAGAGAGATTTTTCTGTTTCCATTGCAATTGGGACTTTGGGGTAGCAAGGGCAAAGAAATTTGATAGATAAACTGCAAAGCCAAATTTAAAACATAAATATTACCTTGACAGCTCTGTAGACCAGCAGCAATTTCAGCTTCCGTCAGGATACTGGAAAGAGCCATGTCAAGAATACTGCAAAATGAAAAATACTGTTGGGCAGAGTCACCACTGCTCTTGCTCTCTGAGCTGTGGAGGTGGCCCCGAGGTGAGCCCAGGTCCCAGGGCAGAGCAGGAGAGCTGCCCTGCAGGAGCCAGCTGCTCCATCCTTTAGCTCAGACACACATTGTGCATCTGAGTCGCTGGTATTTCCAGTAAAGTCTTCAGGTGTACAAGCTGAGGACAAAGCCAAATGTATTTGTAGAACTTCCCAGCATTTGGGCGTCCTTGGTTATTTCCATGCATTTTTTGTGTGAATTATTGTGATGTCTTCTAAAGTTCCAGAGGAAAGATTGAACTCACCTGGCCACTTAGTTTTCTTCAAGCCAAGAACAGAAAATATTGTCAGGTAAAGATGAGCAGAGTCCTCTTGACTTAATTATTTTTCAAATGACATAGAGAAGGACTTATATAGGCCTCAGTTAAGTCTTCTTGACCTTTTACAGAAGTCCTAGAGGCACGTGATGGCTCAGATACCCCAGGGGATAAGTTACTGTGGCTGACAAGTCCTGCTAGCTAATCAGATTGATATTTATATCCCAAAGGAATGTGCATGGTGTTTTAGACAATATGTAAGGTTTAGTGCCTTACAAAGTAAATCCTCTCAGCTTGCACATATTTTAGCGAAATGAATTTTTTAATATACAAATATTTTTAATTGTTTAGTGATAGCTAGAAATGGACATCTTCTTGACTTTTAAGAGCCCAGTCCTGATATGAATTACCCATGAAACACTACTCCTGCAGTTGCCCTAGTAGTTTTCAAAACATACTAATACTGATACATTTGTAATAGATATATCTGATATACAAGTACAAGCTCAAAGACAAAACTTCTTCAGCCCAAATTACTTTTAATAAGTTGTTATATAAACTTTGGTTAGCTATAAAAGTCTGATCTTGACAACATTTGCTCAGCAGTAATAAATTGCATGGTGCACATTTTAAAATCATCCTAGTAAATGTGTCCATTTACAAAATGAAGGTTGTCAATTGCTCAGCAGGACAGAGGAGAGTGGATCAGTTATGGCCAGGAGGGAAACAGAGCAGTGAAATAAGTGATATTTTCTTCTTCCTTGCTGCACTGAAAAGACCAACTTCTGTAAGGTCTCAAACAGCAGCTAAGCTCAAGCTGCAGCTTCTCTCTTACTGTATATTAATAGGAACCCTCAGTCAGTAATCTCATGGAATTTATTGGAACCTAATGGCCTTGAGAATAGTTGAAATTGGCCAGTGGTGCAAAAAGCCACTGGGAGAACATTTCACGTTGACACATACATAAACATGGCTGGAATATTGCTTAGGTTTAAATAGCATTTGAGTGATGAGAAAATTGAAAACAAAGCCTACCCTCTAATCACTATGAGATAAAGCTGCTGTCTTTCAAAAATTAGGTACATGAAAATAAATACTAAACCTCATCTATCTCAGTTCCCCTTGATTTCTTCCAGAGAGGAAATTTTAAGAGAAACACTGACTATGTTAATTCTAAACCCATGCTGTGTGGTAAATTGAAAATTGTGAAAACTAACTTTTCTGGATGATGTAAGATCAACTGAACAAGTTACTTTTAAAGGCATTTTGTCCTGAACAGGGTGGAAATATAAATTAAATTTACGATTCAGTTTTTCCATTGGGAATCTAGGTGTGCCTTTGGGTTGGGTACCTAGGAAATAATCAAGAGCATGGCCTGGGGACAGAGAAAATCTGATAATTGTATGGGAATTACTGAGCATTCAAGTAAACGTTTTGAGGAGCCCACACTGAGATTATAAAGCATTTATAGTGAAGAGTCTTGGAGCATTTCTGTGGCAAACCTCCACTTGCCCGAAGGTGGCACCAAAGACAGGCAAGTGCAGCCGTGACAGCTCTGCAGAACTACGGATGAGGGAAAACCCAGGACCAGGATGAGAACAGGATAACAGGAGGGGGTTCATCAGAGGGGGAGAGAGGAAGGAACAGGTATTTCAAAGAAAAAAGTCTTGCCTGGCAAATCACTTGAAAGAACAGGAATATAAACAAACTAGACTGCTAAATCGGAGGTAATTCTTGAGGACTTTCCTTTCATGATGATTTAGAACATCTGTCTAACAAAACCAGGGTTTACTGTATTTATTTTTATGTAGACTAAATTTTACAGTCCATTATGGATATCATTGTAAATATAAAATCCATTTGTTCTGGAAGCCTGGGAGTTAAAGCAGGCAATCAGTGTCTAAAACATACAGCTGATCAATATGTCATTGTGATGGAACTGATGTGATTCTCTTTGAGTCCAATATTTGCATATTCTACTTGGACAGACGTTCCCCTTTGAATTTAGGGTCAATAATTTGTAACTGCAGGGAAAGGCATTGTCCAAGGGTACCTTCTTTTTCTATGGTAACTGGAGTGGTGATCTGTTTTCTCTTCTGAAGCTTGATATACAAGATTGATTTTCTTGTTTTCACGGGTATAGGACATGCTGACAAACAAATCAAAAGTTCTGGAGCAGCCATATCTCAGCTGCTGATGTGCTCTATATCTTTGGTGCAGAAAGTGTACCTGAAAGTCCAGAACAATATAACGGTATCTTTCTGTGCTTATGATAAAAATTAATGTGGAAATTAGGTTTCATAAAATGTGAACACTTCAGTTCATGCTCCACAATATCCTCTTATTAAAAATATGTGAAAAATTGAGCATGAAAATGTTATGTATGTGTCTGTTCAGGGATTTAATCAAGATGTGTCTATTTCAGTAACCCATTCCAGGAAATTAATCCGGCCTTGGCCCTCTCTGCCCACACTGTTTGTGTGAAGAGTTCCAAGCACCTCTGATGATGCTGCATCAAAGATTTTCCACATGGGCTGGCTGCTAACTCAAAGGAGAAACTGTACCAGTCTATGTGTGCAGTGAATGTTCTGACATCGCCTTGCCCTTTCTGTGCTCTCCACTTGTCAGAAGATGACTGAGATTTCAAGCAGTTGGAGAGCTGAAATTGAATCTCAAGTTTACAAATGGCTTTTGGATTGGGATTTCCAAAGGAACATGGAGTTAGGGGGCAGCCAGCTTCCACTAAATACCAGGAGGTTTTATCTCATGCATGGTTCTGCTCCTCTTTCAGGGCAACCCAAATTTTTGGTTTAAGAGAGATGGTGAATTCAGTGGGTAGAGCACTAGGGTGGGTTTGGGATTGTGACCCTGGCCCTCTGTAGCCCTTTTCTAGGAGCTCCTGTAGGACTATAGATTTCTTTGTGTTTCATACTTGCTTAAAGGGATCGTAGTACATCTTTATTTCAGAAGAAGTATAGGGAGGATTAGAGATTAAACTGCTCCCACAGGGTGACCAAGGGACAGAAGTGTCTGAGAACTCACAGTCTTCAGGCCTAGTGGAGCTCAGATCTACCACTCACAATTTGTGTTGTTCTTTAATTGTCTTAAGTGAAGGTAAAACACACAAACCATATCTTCTTTATGCTGAGAACTATGAAGCAGTTTTATACTGAGTATTATGGTGAGTAGGATGGTCTTACTCTGAGCCTGAGAGCCGGTGATCAAAGTGGAAATACCAGGGGTTGTTAGATTCTTTCTGATTTGATGTAGCATAAGCAATTTCTAACAGCATTTTAGTTTTAAACTGTATAGTCAGCAGTGTTTTGTTGAATTCATCCATAGCAGCTTGATGCACAGGATTTAATCCTTACTTATCAGATTGCCCAGGGAGGTTATAGAACCTCTGTCTCTGATGATACTCAAACTCATCTTAGTCCTTCCATCCCTCCCTTCTGAGGGAGTGATTGGACCAGAGACCTCCAGAGAACCTTTCCATCAGGAATAACTCGCTTGTTCTGTACCTTAATTATGGTAACCTTGTGATACCAACCATGTGTCTCTGGTACTTCAGTTGGCATTCACATAGACATCCTGCAATTGAAGGTTTTCACTAGCATGATTGCATTGTCAAGTTCAGAGAACACTCCATGATATTCCATAAACAACTGCAAGCTGCCACTGACTTAATTAAAATGAACCTTGCCAGAAAATGTCATATTTTTTGAATTTGTTTCCTTTAGTTGAAAAATGCTCTTTTTTAATTTGGTTAAAATGTGGATCTAAAATGTGGATCCTAATGCTAACAGAAACCTTAACAGAGAGTAGGTGGCATTTTTGCTGAAGCCTATGGGCTTTTTTTTTTTTTTAACTGGGGACTTCCTGGATTTTTATTATAATTTCTTTGAATGAAATGGCTGGATGATTTTAATAAGATTTAAAACAATTTTTTTGGACACTATTTAAGAAGAAAGGATTTTCTTATAAGCATAGGTGAAGTTGCAGCAGACAAAGGGATTTCCTGATTCTTAGGAGTGCTTCATCCCCCTGTGGCAGCACAAGGCAGTGATGTGCAGTTGTTCAGCATCTCTGAAATCCAGGATGGGCCACTGTGCAGTCTTGCATTTCTTGCATTCCACACGAGAGTCTCAGAGGTGCAAGGAATGCCGTGTCAGGTCTGTCACTTCTGGTACTGTATGTGCCATCTGCTCGTGAGCCAGTGACAGGATAGTTTAGTGATCAGCAGTGTGAAGAGCTAATGTATATATTACATCTGGATATTGCTGCAGATCTAGGTTGCCCCAGGTTTTTTCTTCATCAGGGAAATTATTAAGGTAAAAGGAACCAGAGTCTCATCATTATGCAAAATATTTCAGTGCTGCAATTAACAGCAGCTATAATTTAAGCCCAGATTTAACATCAAAGGCAGTGGGGATAGAATTAGGATTTATATTCATTATAATTCTGCCAAGGCTTCAGTGAGTCTGATTGCTAGAATTCCTCTTTTGCATTAGCCATCCTAAATCGGTCAGCTGGCTCTCTTACATGCCTGGGAATGAGGGAGCTGTGCTTGCCTCACATAATCATCTTGCAATTCATGGAAATGCCAACATTGGCTGTTACATAAAAGTTCCAAAGGCTTTGTTTCTGCTCT